ACACATCCTGGTGTCCCCAGTCCTGCATTCACTATGACCCATCACAGCAGTGATGAAGGCTCCCTCCTTCCCTGTGTGTCTGGCTGCTGTGAATAAGTCACTGTGAAACCTGACACGCCAAATTATTTCCAACTGGTAAAAATCCGTGAATTGGTAACCAGGGCCAGGGGTGGGATCTGCTGACACACTGATCTCTGCTGGTGTTGGAGCTGGCTGGCTTTTGCTTTGGGCACAGCAAGGTGGGAAAACAGGCCCCTTTGGAGTCACAGAGCCTCACAGCCCAATGTGGATCTCAAACAGATCAAATGAATCATGTGCTAAAAGCAGTTGAGATTATATGTAAAAGGGAGTTCAGGGTGACTAGCTCAGCTGTGTAAGTCTCCCCGGGGGATCTCTGAAGATTAATCTCTTCCTACAACTTTTTTGGGCTGAAAGAATTTTGTGGGTTGTGAATTAAATACAAATGTTTCCCAAACAGTGTGCACACCCACGGCTGGCTTTATCCTCTGTTGAATGGGGATTTTTGAACTTGCATGTACATTTAATGTACAATAACATCTATGTTGAAGAAACCCCATTCCAGATCAAAGCAACATTAATATCTGAGCTATGTAACAATTGCATAGAGATTTATCTAGAGCATCTCAGTGCAGCCATCAGGAATACTTTCAAACAAAGAAGTGTTCAAGGCCAGAGTGAATGTGGCTCTGAGCAACCTGGTTTAGTGGAAGGTGTCCTTGTCCATGGCAGGGGATTGGAACTGGGTCTTTAGGGTCCCTTTCAATCCAAACCATTCTGTGGTTCTGTAGGGATTTTAAGCATCTTCATTTAAGGGGTAGTATTTTCTGACACTGGATATGAAGTCCTGGGGAGAAAACATGTCTTTCTTTCTTATAATATTTTTGCTGCAAGCTTAGATATTTTTTAAAGGTTTGGTTTTCCCCCCAAATGCTACCAGAGACTTTCACTTCAATTACCTCTAGGAGACAGAGCTGTGCAAGCAGACCAAGCTCCGTGATGTACGGGGGAGGCTGTCCAGGGGTTGTGTTGGGAGCACAAGGCCATGAGGGAGGGGACAGGACTACTTGTGTCCTGAGAAAAGCTGAGGCCACAAGAGCTCTTCTGCACGTGGGAATAACACAGGAAATGCTCATTTCTTGGGGTTTTCAGTGCAGGACTTTACACCTTCTTTGTAAATTAGCAGCACTGCTTTGGAAAATTACATTCCTCCACAGTCAGTTCCTTCTCTTGCTGTAAATAACCTCCAGCCACCTGAATTTTGGCTACCTGCTTGGGTCAGCAGGGTAGCACTATTACAAAATCTGCTGCATCATGAACAGCTCTGTCAATGTGTATCCATCTTTGCTAAGGAAGAAGGTGAGAACATGAGGTTAATGACTGTACTTTTGACCAACAGCTATTTTGCTGGTGTTTTAAACAATGATTGTTTTATCTAACAATCACCAAAGTACAACTGTAGCTTTATCAAGGGACTTGGATGAGGAGCATCTTATGTACTCTCCAAGAGGCAGGCACTGCAGCCTGACAGCAGGTAGTGGGGAAGGAGTTTGAGAAGAACCAAAAGGAGGTAAAAGAAAATCAGGAAGAAAATTGGAGCAGAGAAGGTATGAGGATATTCTGCAGCAAGGACAGGAAAATTAGATGTCAAACCAACCACGGGTAGAAAAACCTCAAAATACTACTAAATGCCCTGATTCAAGACGAGCTCTGCAATGATACGGCAGGGAAAGATGTGGCAAGGTTACTTGAAGTTTTTCTGGCTGTATTTGAGAGTCAGTTCTGCTGTTGGACAAAGGAAAGTCACATTTTCAGCTCAGCCTGCAAGGCTTCCCTGTTTGCCCTGCTTGCAAGGTCCAGCAAATGCCCCAACTCCTCTGACAGCTATGTGTGTGTGTAGCCTTGGGGGAGGCAATATAGATCATCCCCTGTATGGGTTGGGCTCATGTCAGAGCTGACTTTACACTGGTTTTTCCAGCACTACATCCAGGCTGGGATTTTCCTTTCCTTTCATAATGCCTTTCAGCAAGGACCTAAGGCAAATTTTCAGGTATTTCCAGTTTTCCTGCTCAGTGATGCCCCCAGGCCACAGTGCTGCAAGATACAGACCACAGATCCCCTACCCCTATATAGGCTGGGGGGACACTCACTCCAGATGCCACAGAGACCTGGGCTCCAGGAGAAGTAACACCTATCACAGAGAGAGGCATCTGACTGATCCTCCGTTCTCTGTCTGGGGGACCTCAAGTTCTTAAAATCACATTTCTCACAGCTGCCTGATGCTTGGTCCTCTTCTCTACAGAGATCCAGGAGTCCAGCATTCTCCTTGGGGACAGTCTGAGCATGGGGACAAGTTTTGGGCATCATAAATTAGGATCCACAGAGAGGTTTTTGGGGAGCCCTGGGCAGACTCTGAGCTGGCCACAAACAGCAGTGCTCACATGTGTCCCCTCAAAGGGCATTTTGGACATCTGCTCAAGGAAGGTTCCACACCAAAGTTCACTGGTGGGGTGGGAGGATAGACCTGCTGCAGCAGGACACAGCCACACATCTGTTTCACAGAGTGGTTTCCAGTGTTAGATGCAGACCTGCCTGGAGAACCAGGAATCCCCATTTTCCTTGTGTAGATGAAGATAGAGCAGCTTCAGCCTAGGCTCTCCTGAGAAGTCCAGTTTGGTTTTCTGCGTGTGCTGCTCTGATTTTGCTTTAGTGGGGATGTTTTGATCCTTGTGTGCCCTATTTCCTTTAAAACTGAAGTCCTTAAAGCTTGTGACGTTTGAAAGCTCCGGTGGCATTTTCACAGTGGTGAGGTTGCTATGTTGATTGCACTGGGCAAATTCAAAAACCACAGTGCCTTCCCATGGCACCACAGCCCAGAGCAATGAGCATGGCCTGGCACCCTGCAGAGGCCAGGACAGGGAAGAGGCTATCCTGCCACCGTGGGTGGATAAAACTGGGCTAAAACGCAACCAAAGTGAGCCAGCCTTGAGTCACCTGTGGTCCTGCATCCTCAGTGCTGACACTGAACTGCTCCCTGTGTGTCAGACAGCTGCTGTGCCTGTCTGTTTGTCCAGCTGGGAAAGTGGGTGAGCACCTTCCTAGAATGAAACCACTGTGCAAACACACATTCATGCCATTATCCCTCAGCTCACAAATGAATTTGAACTTGATTAAAAACAAAATCAGGGCAACTGATGCAGCAGGGGCCAGGGAAGCAATGATGGATACAGGCAAGAGGTGCAGGGCTGGAGCTGCAGGGGGCTGGGTGACAGCAGCTGTCTTCAGAAAATAGCAACCTGTGACCCCGGAAAAAAAGGAGCCTTATTGTGAGAATTCCAACATCACCCACTCAATGATGCCAGTCAGACAGGGAAAGGAAGGAGATTTTCACGTCCCGAAGGTAGACGGCTTCATGCTGGTCTGGCCCGAGGATGAATTCACTCCAAACTTGGGAAAGACGCAAGCAGTTCCTTGGGAAACAGAGAGCCCGTGCAGCTTGGGCTGCAGGAGGTGCCTCCGGCGTGGAGAGGAGCTAATCTCCCCTCGTTCGAGTTTTGCTCTTGGATTTTTGCCCCACCATGGAGCCAGAGGGAGCCAGAGGGAGCCAGGGGGCCCAAGGCTGCCCTGGGCTGCTCGGAGAGACAGGGCTGGCCTGGGGAGCTGGGTGCGCTGTCCCGGCCGGGCTGAGGGAGGACGAGCGGGGCCCATCCCGCCCTGAGCAGCGCCGTGAGGGGAGCGCGAGAAAGCGAAGGCGCGCAGACCTCCAGTGGCCCTGCCCAGTACTACAGGGTACTGCTGCTGTCACTGCCACTGTCACTGCTGCCACTGCCACTGCTGCCACTGCTGCCACTGCTGCCACTGCTGCCACTGCCACTGCCACTGCCACTGTCACTGTCACTGCCACTGTCACTGCTGCTGCTGCTGCCACTGCTGCTACCACTGTCACTGTCACTGCTGCTACCACTGTCACTGTCACTGCCACTGTCAGTGTCACTGCTGCTGCCACTGCTGCTGCCACTGCCACTGTCACTGTCACTGTCACTGCCACCTCAGGGACGGGGACCTCGCCTAAGGTTCCTCTTCTTCCCCTGCCACTGCAAATGAATGAACTGTGCTCATGTGCACAGTGAGGGGTTCTGTAGGAAAGCAAAGCAATATGGAAGAGTTACTCCTCTCCTCCCTGCTTCAGTGGCCAGTGCCTCAAGCATAAATAAGGTTGGCTGAGGCTGCAGGCTGTGCTTCAGGTCTCAGGGAGAAGAGAGGACGGTGCCCGAAGCCCTGTGTGACACTGCCCCGTGGCAGCCCTGGGCTCCATCTCACTTCTGCGCCCCAGAGCCTGCAGCTTCTCTAGGAGGGTGCTCTGAGGCACAGGTCCCTGGGAATGCAGATAAACCTGCACAGTCCTAATGTGGGCCTGGGACCTGGCTGCACATTGGAAACACAGAACCTGAGAGCAGGTGAGACAGTCAGGGATTCCATTTCCCATACTTGGCCGTATGATTTCTTGCAACGAGGGACCAGTGCTCAGGAATGCTCACTGGGAAACACTGATGGTCCAGAAGAGGTCTGCCCTAAGGATTTTTACAGTGCTTCACTGGGATAAGCATCACACATAACCTCCCACCCACAGGAATGGGTGCAGTACAGAAACTCTGTACCTCCCTTCCCTTTACTCCCTCCTCATTTGAGGTGCAGAGGGGCTTTCCTATGGATATCCTCCCTCTCGGTCTTCTCATCCAGACAGGCACAAGGCTTGAACTCATCAGCTTCAGGTGATTTCATCAAAACACTTCTAACAACCACCACTTCTTCATGTGCCTCTATTGTAAACACCTCCATAAGGAATGGTTACTCATTTACAAGGTAGTGCTCTACGTGCCAGTCTGCTGCTCCTGCGAGAAAAAAAAAGTAGCAATATAAACCCCTAGGGTTTGGTGATTAACAGTGACCAAGGAATTAGGTTTGAGGTTTTTTTCTTTTGTGATCCCTTTGCACCACATGGCTGCTTTTACTTCACCTAATTTCTTAGCCCCAGTCTCCTCCATGGCTTTTTCTGACTTTCCTGATGTCCATCACCTTCCCATCATTCCCTCTGCAAGAGGCAGAGTCATCTCAAAATTCAGGACAAATGATTTAGATACCAATGAGGTATCTAGTGTGGCTACAACAAACGGGTTTTATAAGGGAAAAACCAAGAGCTGTGCTGACTACAAAAGGGAGGATCAGAGGATTTGAGTTCAAGGCTTAGTGTCTAATTTCAGCCTGTCCAAGTGAGGATTGAAGCCTGGTAAGAAAAACCTCCTTCCTTGCTGTCCTCTGTCCACCCTCTGGTGCTCCCTGGGGGAGTGCTGCTGGCTGCTTCAAAATTCAATTTCTGCACTGGCAGTGGACAAGGCCTGGCAGTAATTGCTTTGCCAGACAACTCTGCTCATCACTGCCTGCATGCTGAGGGGCCAACACAGCTGGGATGTGGTGCTGGGATAGTGCCATAAGTCACAGGGCTGCAAAAACCCCATGCTTTTGGGTCAGCACCCCTTGCACTCAGCTGTGCACTCACTCCATGAGTGCCACACCAAGGCTTGGGGCTCAGTGCCTTGTGTTTGCTGAGGGTTGGAGCCTTGAATCAGCAGCACTGAGCCAACAGCCTTCCCCATCCCATCCCATCCCATCCCATCCCATCCCATCCCATCCCATCCCATCCCATCCCACATCCACCTCTACCCTGCTGTATCCTCTCACTGTACTCTGGGGTGTCCTACCTAGTGGGAAAACTTCCAAGTGTCCACAGGTTCCCTTGCTGCTGCTCACCCTCTGCAGTTCCCTGACTACCCGTGCTATTTCCAGTACATCTCCAGAAAATAGCTCACTCCCCCCGACACCACTGGCTCTACAGCAGGGAGCAAACTCAGCAGTTTACCAGAGGGATTCTGATTCTTTTTTTAGAATCCTATTTTAACCTTCTTTTTCTTTCTAAATTTGTTAAGTTAATCCTTTTTACAGCTCTGGGAGTGAGGTGCACCATCTCAGGGCCTCCAGAAAGACTTACTGGCTTCTCAGCCTCACTCCCTGCAACCTGCTTTCCTCACCTTGCCCTCATGAGCCCCCTTTAATTTGGACAATAAAAGATGCTCTGAGCTAAGCAGCTGCTTTTTATTACTATTATTATTTTTAAAGCTGCAAACATCACCATCTCTTCAACAACAGCAGAGAAGGTGAGATGGAAAATGTGGGGTTTGGTATGCCTGATCCAGGATGGCAGCAATGTTGCTTGGGACTGAAAACTTCGGAGTCCTAATGTAAATCAAAACTGCGGGTGATATCTATTACTTTGTAATCTGCTCCATCTCTAAATCCCTCATTGCAAATAGCCCTTCTCGAGACCATGCTTTGTCATGGGATCTGCCTTGTATCTGCCCTGTGCAGAAACCTGGTCTCCAGAAAATCTGTGTGTAACATCTGTGGGTCATCTCAGTTTCAGTGGCTGGGAAGAGGGTGATTTGCTGTGGTCATGTGAGTTTCTTTTCAGTTGTTTTAGGACATCAACACACTGGTACAACTGGACCAGATGACATCTGTTATTTCTGCAATGCCGGCTATGTATCGTCTTGGCTCATTTTCTATTAGATCCAGTTGTTCTGGCTGATATGCTATTGACCTCAGCTGGTTCAGCACTTGGCTCCCAGGAGGTCACTGGGTGCCACTTTGAAACAATCTCAGTGCTTACAGATATTCTGCTGGGATGAGGACAGATTTCATCCATCTGTTTCGAGTGTGAGCACCTTGAAAGATCAGCTGGCCTTTGCTACCAGCACAAGGTCACTGCCATACTTGCAGGCATCAGGAAGCATCCATAAATCAGTCTAGCCCTGAAGTTTCAGTAAATTGTGTCATCTGGAATGTGCAGCTCAGAAGCTCATGCTCCCGCTCTTGGGAATCACAGGTTCACATCACAGCATGACCAGGTACTGACTTCAGCTTTGTTAGGTGGGAGGAGATGCCATAGTGATGCATGTACTGAAAATACCTATTAAATATGTAACAGCCCTGGGGGAAAGAATGGCCAGGGCTTGGGAAAGAGGGGAGGATAGAAAGACAGGGTGAATGACTGACCAATGCACATAACTGCACTACAGGAGATTGCAAGTAAGCAAAGAAAAAAATGTTGGGATGCCATATTTCATAGAGTGACTTGTTCTTGTGGGCAGTGATTTCTCCACATAGCTTTATTTTCTACTTTTGCTCATCTGTTTGCCCATGTTCAGCCTCTAAAGCAGCACTTCTTGTTGAGATGAGGCCAGAATTTTTGAAGATTTCCTTCATTGAGTACAGAGTGTTTCCATACTATTCTAGGGCAAGCTTAGTCTGATCTGTCATTAGAAACCTTTATAGATAGGGAGTCTGAAGCTTTTGTCAGTAACTTGATCTCTGTTTTTATTGTGTGGTGTTTAAATCTCCCTTTAGTTACTTGTCTAACTTGAGCCACTTATTTTTATTTTTATTTTTATTTTTATTTTTATTTTTATTTTTATTTTTATTTTTATTTTTATTTTTATTTTTATTTTTATTTTTATTTTTATTTTTATTTTTATTTTTATTTTGTAATATTTAGGATATTACTCCAATTATCTGTTGTCCTCCTGTCAGGAGCTGAGGGACAATGACTGACCATCTCCAGCTCTGTAACAACCTTTTACGTGTGGGATGATTATTCTCTTTTGGAATTTTAGCTTTCTTTTCTAGACTAAACAAGCCAAGACCCATCTGAAACCCAGAGATTCATCTCTTTGTGCAATCACTGTGATTTGCAGTGTGTTTCTGCCCTGGTCCCCAGCAGCATTGCCATGGCCCAACTTCTTCAGGAGGCTTCCCAGGAGAGGACACAACCTGTGTCTTTGAGCTTCCTGGTGGTTTTGGCTGCTTCTAGTGCTGTTTACAGGGGAGGAAATGGAGCAGAATCTGTCCTTCAAGGCTTTTGCTTTGTCTTTGCTCGGTTCAAAAGCCTGTGTAACATTCCTGGAGCAAGGCAGCCTGGGCTGGTAGTATGTCTTTCTGAGGGAACATGCCTGGATACACTTTTCCTCCCCTTCCTGTAGGGAGAAGGTGGAAATCTGTTCTCTTTGGGCTTTCCCCACAGGTTTCCTTTCCTCTCAGTAGGTAGGAGCTTATGTAACTGATGTGCTGTCACAGGAGGCCATCTGGGCCAGATGTCCCACACCTTCTGGGAAAAGGAGGACAGGAGAAGAGCAAAAGGTAAGTCAGCACCCAGACACCACATCCATACCATGGTGAGGTTTGGGTTCCTTATGGTTGGGTCTACGCTGAAACCCCCCTGGGTTCTGCGTGCTGAGGACAAGTTTTGAAAATTTTCACTTCATTTCTGCTTTTGATAATTCCCTGCATGTCTCAGAAGCCCCAAGGGGAATCCGCACCCTGCTCAGGGACTTCCCTCCATCACTAGTGGCAGGCATGAGGCTGTTTGTGGGCTGGAGGAACACTGGGAACAGCACGTTTAGCTCATTTTGCTATCTCGGAGGGACTGATTGTAGGGAACAGCTGGTCCGGCCAGGACAGAAGTGCGATAGAGATGCCAGATGAGGAAGACTGAACAGAGCTTGTCCCAGCTTGCCTGTGCCTTCCAGCAGATCAAACCAAAACTGAGCCACCCCAGCAAGCCACTCGGATGAGAGCAAATGCAAGTCAGTGCCTTCATTTTAAAAACCAATTTTCCTCACAGAAAAGGACTCAGTTTGAAGGACCCAGCACCCTGCCTCCCTTCCTCTGATCCTCAGAGACTCATAGGATCTTTTACTGTACTGCTAATAATACTAATTTTTTTTCTACCAGAGGCAATCTCTGTTGTAAATTCTGGTTGTAAATCCTTGTAAATATCATGCTGAGTGCAGCTTCCCACAGGGACATCCACCTCCTCAGCCCAGGAGCAGGTGGCCACTGCAGGGGACATTCCAAGACTGCTGGTGCTTCTGACCCCAAGGCAATTTGCAAATTTTTGCCTCTCCTCATGAACCAGCTTTGGCTTATTGCATGGAGGAGATCAATTGTTGGCCACTGAACTCTCCTGCTAGAATGTTGAGGTGCTGGGGCCCTGTAAGAACTTTGGTCTGAATTTAGAGGTCTTACATTAAGTGTCCAGTTTAATTGTGGTGCTTAATGTCAGGAAAGGGATGGGATCCACCCACCAGACCTGACAGCCTCAGCAGTGGGGAGAAGCTCTACAGGAAGCTGTATGAACATAGCCATAATCTCACTCTCCCAGGAACATTGGGGTAAAGAATATTTTCTCTTTAAGTATTGTATATTTCTCGTTAAGCAAGTATAGTGTTGTTGCCTGAAGAGAGGAAGGTGATATCATTTCATAGCCTACCTGATGTCCAGCTGCTCTGTATGAGCAGGAACCTGCTCCAGGCCCCCTGTCACAGCCACCAGTCCCCTACAGATGGTCCAGTGCCCGCAGAGTACCCTCAGTGGTGTTCAGTGCTTCTGCATGGGCAGCTGAACAGGGCCCTTGTTGGCTCTGCTTTGCAAAACCAGACCCCAGTGCAGGTAGGCAGTGCCTGGTGGGGACACTTGCACCCAGCAAGATGTTTGAGACTGGAACAGCTCCAGTTGATCTGATTATTGACTATTATTGTGACTGTTTGAGTTAAAAAGGGAGCTGCACAACTGGATAGCCCTTGGTTTAGCTGCACACACTACAGCCTTCCCTGCAGAACAATGCCTGGCCCCAAGTGTGTTTAGCCAGAGCTTGGCAGTGGTTTTCTCTCCCTCTGAAATTTGTTAGGGTGTCAAAGAAAAGAATAATAAATCTGTTATGAATTGCCATGAAAAGCCACAGTCACTGAAGTGTTTTCCAGCTGTAAACCTGAAGAAAGATTCCATGTGTGAAACTGAAATGTTTCACTTCCATTTCAAGAATGCAGCAATTGCCCGCCACCCCACTCCAGCTGCAAAACAATATGTGTTCAGCAATGTCAAGTGTGGTTCAAAAAATACTTTGCCAACTTGCAAAATTACTCAAAGCAAAATTTTTTTTCCTAGCAGAACACAATGTTTTTAGCTCATCTGATCAATTTTTAATTTTCCCATGAATTTTGTTAGCCCAGCAGCAATCCAATAAACTCCAAAGGGTAGCTGGGCTCTGCCATTTCTGTGAGTACTAGAGGAATAAATGTGGTGTGTGGAGTGATTTATGCAAGTTCACTTGTGTTTCCCAGTTGTGGTTGCAGTTCCCCTGCAGCTTCAACACTCCTCAGGAATCTTCTTTCTTCTTGCCCTGCTGCTGTGCTCCTGAATGGGCTGTCTGGGTCTCCCATCTGTGCTGCTGTCTCCCAGCCCACCCACACCAGATCAACCTGTCACTGTGATGAGCATGGAAAAAGGAGCCAGGAGTGGGGCTAAGAAGTGTCTGTGTCAGCCCACCTGCCTGCCCAGCAGTGTAGGACCAGCACCTTCACCAGCCTGCTCTGACTGTGGCAGCAAAAGGAGGAGACATCAGAGAAGGACAGTGAGGCTGGGGGAAGCACAGAGGAGTTGGGAGCTGGTGGCACTTGGAAGTTTATTTCATAGAGATGTATTTCAGAGGGAGGATTTAACTTTGGTGCATGAGGAAAATGTCTTGTCAGGGAACAAGACAGAGGCAGTCATTTTGTTATTAGGCATCTGAAAGGATCATGGATTTCTGATGAGCTCTGAGACCTTCAGAGCTTCTCCTGGGTCTGAGATGTGAAGTCAAGCATGGAATGAAATCAGTTCCTGGGATAAGTTAATATTCAGCTTTATTGAACGATGAACGGGAGAAAAGGCAGGGAGGGAATCTGTGCAGGGCAGCCAGGCCTTGTGTCCTGCCAGGCACAAGAGTCATGGAGAGAATCCCAGAGGGGGCCTCTCTCCCTTGAAGAGGAACAATGACTGAGCCAAGGCAGCTGGAGAGCAGAAACCCAACCATATCCCTGCAAGGGGAGAAATAAAGGTGTTCCCACTGCTCCTTCAATCTCTAGTTGCTGTTGAGGACGTACTCAATGACTCAAGTTACACTGCTTGTGGAGAATCCTCATCCTTAAAAAAAGAATCAAGTGAAGCTGAGATCCCAGCACCACTTCTATGTTCCTCATAGATGCTAAACTCTTTGGGATGGCAAATTCCCTGGCCTGCATCTCTAAAGCACATAACACAGCACAGACCCACATCTCCTCTGACTGCAGCAGGAATGTGTAGTTCTGGTGTGGCCTCCTGGGACCTGCTGTGTCTGTGGGCTCCTCTCCAACACATCAATAGCTGCTGGCTGTTCCACAGGGCTCCTTGGGCAGGTTTGGCTTTGACTGAGGACACAGAATCATAGAATGTTAAGCGGTTTCTTCCTAATATCTAACTTAAATTTTCAATCTTTCAATTTTTATCTATAACTCCTTGTCCAATCATTACAGTTTCTGATGAAAAGTCCCTCTCTGGCTTCCCTGTAGGCCTTGTTCAGGTACTGGAAGGTTCCTATGAGATCTCCATGTAACCTGCTCTTCTCCAAGCTGAACAACCCCAACGATCTCAGCCTGTCTTTGCAGTGGAAGTGCTCCAGTCCTCTTATCAACTTTGAATTCTCATTCGCTTTGTTGAGCTTGAGGAGGTTTACACTGGCTTACCTCTCGAGCCAAAGCTCCCCATTACTTTTTGTGCTGGCTGGGGGATGGGGGGTGGCCTCAAGGGTTAACAGCCATTTCCAGCTGTGGCTCTCCAGCAGGGACAGAGAGGGCCCGGGCACCCTGCCAGGAGGTAATGCTGTTTGAGCACTGCTGGCAAAGACTTCAAACCCCTCAGCTAATTTCGGATGTTCTGCTTGTGACATGGAAAGCTGCATTCCCATCTAGGAAAGAGCTCTTCCCTGAGACTAGGAAGGGAAGGGACTATTTATTAATATAACATTGTCAAGAGTGGCACATCTATCTTTCTGAAAGCCCTGTCTGAGGTGATTTCCTTCATGTGACACTTTTCCTCCTAGGAGCCCCAAATATGCTGCAGAAGAGGCCATCACAAAACGCTGGAGACACAATGCAGAACAACCACTCCCTCTTCTTCCAAGAGTCAAAGAGAATGAAAATAGCAGAATATTAAAATCAGAGAGAAAAAAATTGGGCAAAGTCATGTTTGCTTTTCCACATTGGCAAAATTACAAGTAACATTTTATCTACAGTAAAAATAGCTATATCTATGATAAATACAGCCTTTAAACCAGTTAAAAGAGAGTTTTAACTGGATCAGACTTGGATCCTATGTGTCAGTTGCAGAGCATCCTGCCTCTCTGCGAGGCCCAGGTAAGAAAACAGAAGCATGCTTGTCTCCAACTGGAGATACCATTTTTTTAGGTCTCCTTGGTTAAGGAGTTGCTGGGGAGCTCCTCAACTTAAGGAGAGCCACCCAGGCTCCCTTCAGTGCTCCCTTGTGGAGACAAAGCCTCTTCTACTGCAAGAGAAGACTAAACATGGAAACCAATCTGAGGAGGCTGGATTCCCCACGTCTGGCTTGGGAAGGATGATGGGAGTGGAGACCTTTAATCAGTGAGGGACTTCCCAGAGTGTGGTGTTGGCAGATGACAGTAATGAGATCATGCACGAGGCATCAGCATCAGATGACCTGATCAGTCTCTCTTTGTCCTGGACATGTGTCTAACCCAGAGCCTCTACCTTGTAATGCACTGGGCTTGTGGTCTGTTGACAGCACGAGACACACATGGTCTGTGACAACACTTGGCAAGGCTGAAACAGTGTCCTCTAGCCCTTGCCATGGTCTGTCTCCCACCTTCTCCAGTGACAGCCATTGTGATGTTCAGAGCTGCTGGACTTAGGAAGTTTAGGAGGGGGGCTGCTCCCTGTCTGTTGTCAGCTATATGGTGAAGTTTTACTCCTAGCTGCCTGCTTCCCCAGGGAAACAGATACATGTGGTTGCAAGGATGTCACCATTATTACCATGACTCTTCTCAGGAAGCTACAGGGTAATGCATTCATTCCCCTGTTTTGCTGTCCCTGTTGGGTAGATATGTCACAGTGCCTTGCAGACTGGCCCTGCCTTAGATCCTGTAAATGTGGTGTCATTGTCAGTGCTGGGATTTTCATATCTTAATTCCTACATCTGCAAGTTTCAGAAAAAACTGAGAACAGAATGGGGATGAAGACTCCTTTCTATGTTCTGGTTTTAGAGATGGGAGAGTGTTTTGTGCAGGGACTGAGAGGGCAGTGAGGATCCTGCTGCACAGGAACTGCTGGTGCCACGACACCGGAGTGGGAAGAGTGAGTGCCACTGACTCCAACAGCAATCCTGAGGCTTTGGTATCATGTTCAGTCTCTGTTCAGCATCAATTACTTGGGACTTGATGAAACTTAGGCTTATAACATGTTTTTTCTTCCACAATGGTTAAAAAAGCCTCAGATCTATAAATAAACCTGCTTATTTTCAGTCCGAAAAGAATAAGGAATGCCCTGTACTTCCGTACTGTGCTGCAGGTTTCCCTCATCATTCAGGGGATATGCAATTGAAGATCGTGTCTCTGCCAGGCCTAAGAGACACCAAGAAATTCTCAGCATCACTGCTAATCATCTGAACAGAGAAGCAGAAAGGGAACACAGTCTCCACGCTGAAAGTAGCAAATCCAGGCACAAAAAATGCAGTGACATCCACAGCAACAAGACAAGCCTTTGGCAGAGACAGAATCTCCTCAGTCTCCTATTTTGCCCTGACACTGTCTGCTTGTTATAGCTGCAAAAGGCTGTAGGAGCACTGGGATGTGCCCTCCAGACCCCCCATGCTGGGGTCACACAGTAGCTGATGTTACTGCCACAGCCAAGGGTCCCACGTGGCTTCCTGGCAGTCTCCATCTGAGTGCTCCGACCCTACAGCACAGATGTTCCCATGCTCTGTGGATATGTCAGGATTTCTGGACATCTGCTTGCCTGGTAAGATCAGCTGCCCCAGTCAGGCTGCCTGACATGTGTAAATTATGGACAAATGTGCTGCAACCTACAAATACCAGCATGGCAGAGACAGAGAGCACGTCCCCAGGAACATGGAGAGCTGGCTGCTCTCCCCCTGTTGTGATGTTTTGTGCACATGTTTCAAGTGCTTTCTGTCATTAGCTCTCATCTCAGAGATCTTCCTTATAAATCCACCTCAGCTTAACAGGCTTGCTGCAGAGAGTGGGAGTTTTCCTTTGGTTCACAAGTGCAGTTGGGATGTGAAGCTGCAGGGGTTCGCAAGCTGGGCTCAAATGTTGGCACCAAGACAATGCACAGCTGTGGAGGAAGGGAGCACAGAGGATGGGGAAGGGAACCAAGAGTGCAGAAAAGGAGGTGTTTGTTTGTAAAAGAGGAGCATAGATCCAGGAAAAAAGATAAAAAGAAATACAGAAAAAATTAGTGAGGGAAGAGGAAAGAGCAGGGAATGGAAGAGGGAGTTTTAGAAAATCAGGGGTTGCATTTATTGTGCTGCAGGTGCTTGCCCACACCAGATTATATTCAGCTGGTTCTCTTAGTCCTCTCAGAGAGAGAGCTGGCATCCCTCTAACTACAAACCACCTATGTGCAAGTAAAACCCACAGCAGCTGAAACACCCTGAGATGAAACACAGGAGATTAAGTTACAAGCTAATTGGGCTGAGATGCTTTCAGAGGAATGAAAGTTTTGGCAGGAGACCATTTCTCCAGGGGAGATGGCCTTGTCAAACCCTACTTTTCCCCTTCTCCATTAAGCAACCTCATCCCTGCTTTGTGGAAAAGGCTGTGCAAGTTTTTTTGTCTGTTGGAGGTTTCCATCCTGGGCTGGTCTCCAAATGACTATGGGACCTTTTCTGCCCATGCATTAAACCAGTATTGCCTGCTGTGTTCCAAATGGGAACTTCTTTAGGTCCCCAATGTCAAAACACATTTCTAGTAACATGGTCAGGAACCTCTGCCCTTGTGGGCTCATTTAGTCTGGGAAAAGAAAGTGAAAGGAGAAATTCAGCAGCTGTCCACAACTCCTTGATAGATAATGATAAAAATGATGGAAACAAACCCTTCTCAGGAGCACAGGGCAGTAAGAGAGGGGAATGGGTGGTCTGCAGCTTGGGAAGGACAGCAGGATAAACATAATTCCATGAGGAATGTAGTGCAACATTGAAACAGGTTGCAGAGAGGGAGCTCAGCCTCTGTCTGTAGGTTTTTAAAGTCTGGGTAGAAAAGCTACATCTGACCTAATCTAGAGCTGTAATTCTCCTGTCTTTGAGCAGGAGACTGGGCAGGAGGCCTCCAGAACTCCCTTCCAACTACTGTGTCCACAGTTCTAGGGATATTTCCACTCAGTTTCAATATTTTATTATTTTAGGTTCTGAAACATTCTTGCTGTGGTTATTTTCCTTTTAAAAAGACATCCTTAGATTGTAGCAGGTGATTGAATCTGATCCATCTTTGGTATGTTACTAGAAAACCTGTTTAGTTGTTAAAATGACCCAATTTGTGTATTCTGAAGCCAGTAAGGAGCACAAATTGGATTTGAGGTTGAGCATTATGAAGTTGGGCTCTTGGGTAGAGTATTTTATTTTAATTTGAGGGTTGTTTTCGTTTTGTTAATAAAATATTCAGCCTTTAATGCCACATAGTGAAACAACAGTTGGAGAACCGATGGATTAGTTGTTCCAATTCTGCAAGTTCATGAGGAAACCCATAACATTTATCAGGTGCTGAAAGCTAACACATGATGTGTTAAATCTGTGATTTAAAATGAGCTTGATGTATAATCCCTGAGACACCAGAGCATCAAGGTTTCTCTGTACTGCACTTAAGAAACCCAAATGAAAACAGTTGAGGTGAGTGAGACTAACAAAAATTATTTCATATGGTAGCAATTTACTTCTGACTCATAAAATCTTCCCATTTTGTTAGTCCCAAAATTAAATAGAAGAAAAGCTGTGGTTTTTTAATTGAAATAAAAGCAGCACATTTTTTCTTTGGATGCTCTGAAGCTGACCTGTGCAAAATCTGATTTACTCAGATTTAACCCTAAGTCATATGGTTCCTGCAGGAATCCCACAGCAGTATTCTATTTTTTCAGGTGCAGAAGAGTTTGGGGTTTTCTTAGTTTTATTTTATGTGATTATTCACTCTGCTGACGTTTAAGGAAATGATGGTTGTTTTCCACATTGTGTATAAAACCTTTCCCCTTCCAGCAAATGTTACTTTTTTCCTAATCCTTCACTGGCCAGGGTAAATGCAGCATTATGGGTTTCATACCTTGTTTAATTCTTGGCTTCAAGAAGCTGTGGTGTCCAAGTGAATTTCCAGTCTTTCAAATCTTCTCCTTCAGATTAACGCCTTTGATTCTGTTAGAAAAGTTTAAACAGAACATAATCAGAACAATTTGTTTTTACAACTGTTAGAAAACTTCCTGTAAAAAACCCTACCAAAAATACAGGTATTTTGCAAAATCGATGACCTGCTGTACCTCTGTTCAGCAGCAGTTTCAGAAAGGCAAGGCAGCTGTAACATGACTATAGCTACGTGCCAAAATTTAATAAAAAGCTGTTAAACTCTGACAAAAGTGAAGGAACAAGGAGGTCACGTTGTAGAGGGCACTTCCCTGTGCTCTGGTGATAATAGATTTGCTCATCTTCAGGGAATCAACCTGGCATGAGCAGTGACATCACTGATTTGAACATCTTGCCTCCTTTCAAACAGTTATATTTATATTATATTATATTATATTATATTATATTATATTATATTATATTATATTATATTATATTATATTATATTATATTATATTATATTATATTATATTATATTATATTATATTATATTATATTATATTATATTATATATTACATTATAATTTTGTTGTCACGGTTCTTGTTGTGGCAACTTTAAATGGTGCTTACACAACAGCAGTGTTTCTTTGAGTCCTAAACAAGAGCTTTGGGATAAAACCATTGTCCTCAGCAAGCCCTTGGCTCTCTCCCAAGAAACACATTTATGGTGTTTGCTTCCTAAGAAGGCAAAATGGTTAACAAAAACATGTCCAAAGACTGGCTGGCTTTTCTGAACACTGCCCAGACTATAGGACTGTCATATATCTCTGTTGAAGGTGTTCCTTTGTAAACTTTTATCTGCTTGTTTATGAGCTGGGAATTGATTTCTTGATGACAATATTTCTTCAGAGTCTTCAGTACCTATAGCAGATTTCTCCAGAGTCTTTTGATGCCTCTAAAGATTACAGGTAGTGACTGAAAAATGTTACTGTATTTCTCCATTTTTATTTTTTCTTTTTATTTCTGGGAATTGTGGGATGCCTTGTGACAGGCAGAGATTTCAGCACATACTCTGCAACTCATTGTAAGGTGACAGTGCTACAGAAAACAAAACTGTGTATTTACATATTGTCCAAGTACTTTTTGTATTATCATTATATGTATATATTACAGGCAGGAGTAGATATAAAAAATTAATAAGGTCAAAAACCAAGGAAGCAAATGGTGAAATTCCCATTGTCTTCCCCAATGACCCAGGTAGCTCCTGTCTATATGCACTTACAATTTTCTTTACAAAAGGAATAGTTCTGGAGCATGTAGGACTGAACCTTGCAGGAAGCAAGTGCAGCAGAATCAAGGCTGCAGGGGAAAAAGGAAATGGTCATGGTTCTCACAAGCAAAGTGAGACCTACCAAGAATCTCTTACTGCCTATATTCTCTTCTGTCTGCCAGTTTTACGGTGATAACAATATCAAGTGAAAACAGAAGTCTTGCTGTGATGATGTTAATCCAGACAAAATGGCAGGTAAAAAGGAGAGCAAAAGCCAGAGGCATCAGCCAGTTATGCTGAGAGATACTGAATGCACCCAGCTTGCACCGAAGTGGAGGCACTGTAGATCTGAGGATTTTCAGCTTTTTTAATGGACATCTTGCCAGGTGAAGCTTCAAAAGGCCCAGACAGAGGCAGCACAAACATGCAGGAAGGGAAGCTTCTTCAGGGCTGGCTGAGGACTGGGCATTAATGTGACCAGGCTTAGTTCATATGGGGTTGGGAACATTTCACCAGGGACCTGCTTCAGTGGAAGC